AATGCAGACTGGTTAAATAAATTATGATGTATCTTTTATGCAACTACTAGTCAGAATGGATCTGTAAAGGACTTGAATTCAGAGACAGAGCAGAAATAGTGTTGTGAGGGGCTGGGTGGAGAGGAATGAGGAGTTACTGTTTAATGAATATAGAGGGTTTCCTTCTGTTTGGCACAACAGAAACGTTCTGCAGATGGATGGTGATGGTGATTGTACAATGTGAGTGTATCTAATGCAAATGAAATGTGTGCATAAAATAAGGCCTACCAAAGGTTATACCATCCTGAATGCACATGATCTCTTCTAAAATAAGGTTAAAATGGTTTATTGGGGCACATTTTTTAAGCATTGAAGGCTGTGTCAGTCATCAAATGAATTTATAAAGTAAGTCTTCAATGCATACGTTTAAGGAAAAAGATTGTTTTAAAATAATCAAGTAGAATCTCAATTATCTGTAAAATATTTTTTTAACATGGAGATGTATATAGAAGAATATATGACTAAAGGCCGGGCATGGTGGTGCACATCTTTAATTTTGGCACTTGGGAGGCAGAGGCAGGCAGATCTCTGTGAGTTCAAGGCCTATAGGACTACATAGTGGAGTCGACACAGTCTACATAGTGAGTTCAAGGCCAGCCAGGGCTACATAGTGTAGACCCTGTCTCAAAAAACCAGAAAGAAAGGGAGGGACCTCAGAACAACATGTTTTAAACTTTTCATGAAGGAGGAAAAAAGGCGAGCGTTAATTTTGTTCTCCATCGATCTACTTCAATTACAATGTATTCATGCATTACCTGAGTTACTTTTACAAAGTTAGCAATCTTAAAATAGGTAACTTAAAAAGCTCACTTTTGTGATGATAACTTCTTGCTTCTGGCCAAGTCTATGGCATCTGTCAAAGCACTGGTCTTCAGCAGCAGGATTCCAGGCCTAGCAAGGACAGCAATGGCTTTACTATTGCCCTGCAGGTTCTATGTTAGTCATTTCATCTCAGTATTATGCATTTATTTTTTTTCTGACTGAATTCAAATACTAACATCACAAATGTACCAGGAGGAAAAGCCCCTATTTCCCCAATCACTATGATGGCAGGCAGGCATTTTCTCCAGGTTATTTCACTCTCCTTCTAAGAGGTTGAGGATCTTGGCTGAAATCCTTAGGACTAGCGGTGTATTTAAAATTCCAGAGTTGTTAAGATTTTGGAATGTCTGCATAGACTATAGGTTCACTAATCTAAAAATCCCCAATTCTAAACTTTTTGAAGGTTGTGTCAGTCATCAAACAGATCCAGACTGTAGAGCATTTCAGATTAGGAATGTTCAACCTATAGGACTGACCTATATACTGATACTCAATATAAAGACCTGTTGATTAATCAAAATAATTTGATGTTTTTTCATTGTAAAATGGATCATGTATACTTAACAGAGCAAAGAAAATTTATACATTCTCTCAGATGACTTAATTTACAACAGAAAAGATGTGAAATTCTTAGGCCTGTATTAAAATAAATGTTTTCTCCCTTATGCTGGTCTTTGTTTTTTGTTTGTTTTTTCTTTTTTCCTGCTTTCCTCCATTTAGGAAATAAAAGTGCAAAAAAGAAGTTTCAAGAGTAGTCAAAAAACCTAAAAATAATTTTACACTTTATCTGTGTATGAAATAAGCTTTACTTTAAAAATGAGTTAAAAGCCAGGCATGGTGGCGCTCGCCTTTAATCCCAGCACTTGGGAGACAGAGGCAAGTGGATCTCTGTGAGTTCAAGACCAGCCTGGTCTACATAGTGAGTTCCAGGACAGCTGGGGCTACAGGGAGACCCTGTCTCAAAAAGACCAAAAAAAAAAGTAAAAAAAGTAAATAAATAAAATAAGAATAAAAATGAGCTAAAGGCCGGGCATGGTAGTGCATGCCTTTAGCCTCAGCACTCAGGAGGCAGAAGTAAGCTGATCTCTGTGAAATAAAAATCAGCCTGGTTTACATAGTGAATTCCAGGCCAGGTGGGGCTACAGGGTAGACCCTGTCTCAAAACCAACCAACCAACAAAAAAGTTCTTTTTTTGAAGAGGTAGTAGTCGTCAAATGATTTAAAAATCAAGGATCCGAGTGCATCCGATTATGAATAGTAATAATCAGATACATACAGATTAGAGATGCATGTGCTAATATCTCAGTGTTATTAGCAAAAATAATGAGTCTTTCTGTAAGAAACTATATTTTTAAATGAAATGGAGATCTTTTTTAAAGGATAAAAACTCATTCTTTGAAGGAGATGTATCTTTGCTCTGGAAACTGTTACTGAGTATGTTAAAGCTGTAATGAGTGCATGCATACACACATACACACACACACACACACACACACACACACACATATATGAAAAAAATGTGAATTTTCAAGAATATTTAATCTCAGTGAGTTAACATTCCAGCCAGTGAAACATGGACAGACCCTGTTTCAAAATAAATAAATAAATAAAAAACCAATCAATCAACCAATAAATAAATCAATAAATTTGGATGCTGAAGAGACAGCTCAGTGGTTAAGAGAGCACTTGCTGTTCTTTCAGCAACTCGAGTCCAGTTACTAGCAGCCCCCGCAGGCAGCTCACAACTGTTTCTGACTCCACCTCCAGGTGGTCTGAAGCACTGTTTCGCATTCCTTATGTATATCCCTTATGCATGCACATAAAATATCAATTAAAAAAATTAAATTTGAAAATTTCTAAAACTGAATGCAGAGGGGGCTATTCAGTTGTAACAGTACTTTGCTGTTCAACCACGAGGACTTGAGTTCGAATCCCCAGGACCCACAGAGATGCTGGGCATGACCACATGTGCTTGTAACCCCAGAGTTGACAGAACAGAGACAAGTGGATTCCAAAAGCTTACTGGCCAGCCAACCTAGAAAAACCAGGGAGCTTCAGGTTTAGTGAGATCCTGTGTCAGTGGAATAAGGTAAAGTGTAGTAAGAGGAAGAACCTTCTCTGGCCTTGCACACACACAACTACGTCCACATGTCCACATACATTCACACAATCCAAAGGGAAAACCTGAAAACAGTATTTGGGGAGAAAAGGTACATTTACACAGCAAGTACTAGCTGAAAACAGAAATAAAATCAGATTCATATGGAGATGCAGTTTATAGTAGTCATGCTTAGGCTGTTAATTTTCTTCTCTTTTAGGTTCCCCTGAAGAATTTGCATTTAATCAGCTATGATGTATGTTTAATTTCTCTAAGAGACAATTTTACTAATTAGTTTGCTAATGAATTGAATTTTGTGTTTTTTTAGTACAGGAGTTAGACTTCAGGATATACTTAGCTTATGATCTTCTAAAAATTTTACTAATATTTTGTATTTTCCAGACATTTTAAAATTATTACACCAGGAGGCAAAAATCAAATTGTCTTTCAATTGCCTATATTTTATCCAGGAATCTAGTAACAAGCTGGTGATATATATCTAGTTACCAGAAATCCAAATTATGTCATAATATAAAACTTATAGCTCTCATTCTCACATGTAATGCTTAAGGAAGCAAGCAGATTCAGCAAGGAACTCATGATGTCCTTTAAAATATTACCCTAGCTCTTAAGGACGGTCTAGGAATATGTAAAAGATTGTCATGAAATTTTAAAAATTGAATTTTATTTTCCTGGGACTTGATTTTTGCTTTAAAGTTCTGATATTAAAAAGTGTAGCATGTTCAAAGAAAATCAATTTACTACAAAAGTGTTAAAACATTCTGACATTGTTTTTTAAACTCTGAGTGTTTTGTCAACTTAAAAACAAAATAATTTGAGACTTTTTTTTAAAAAATTAGATGTCATATTATCACTGGGTTAGTTAATATGGCACAATCTATAAGTTCAAAAAAAAAATCATAAATTTTAACAAAGATTTAATACTTGACCCACAGCAGTAAGACATATTCAGACCACTGCCATCCATGATTTGTACCCATGAAGGCCAAAATATGACTCTCGGCATATCCCTTCTTTATTGGAAAGGTTATCTACAATTGAGAATTTTTTTTTTTTAATAAAAAAGTAATGGTGCTTGCATGTTACATGCGTGAAGCTAAGAATCCTTACCAGAGTAACTAAAATCTTTACACCAGTAAAATTTCTCTATGTCATAAATCCTCTAATCCCAAGTAACAGGCTAAAAATACAAATCTTAAATCTATAAATGCACAGCAACTGTCCAGGACTGCTCGAGCCCACACAGTATACTAATCAAATTAGAAATTGAAATCAGCTCATGGTTCTTAAACCCAAAGAGCCCCACTGTACATTCTGAACAATACGCTGTTGAATGGCCACAGCTTTACTCCTAAAACCAAACAGCTTCAGACTGTCTGGTTTTAGAAGCACAAGTGTGGAGTGAATTCTGGCTCCTTTACCTCTAGGCTTCTCCTGTATAATCACAAGTGACTGTGCTATATTAGCTACTAAAACTTATCCAGAACATCCTGGCAATACCATTCCTTTCACAAATTGGACCCTGGCCCACTTCCACCTGCATCAGCTATCATGTATGTTTAGTTTCTTAGAGACTCCTAAATCTCTAAGGACAGAGGTTTAAAACTGCATTTAACCTTTTTGGCAAATTAGAGGTTGACAACACCAGCACTATGACAGTAGCCACTTTGGCTACTTTGCAGTCAGATTCCCAACACAAAGCAAGAACTCATTAATTTGCTGGCTTACTGAACCATAAAAGCATTATAACTGATAGACACTTTTGTAGACAACAGACTAAAAATGAACAGGGTAACAGTACTCTAGAATACAGATTCTGGGGCCAGAGTAATGGCTCAATAGTTAAGAGCACTTACTGCTCTCACGGAGAACCTAGGTTTGGTTACCAGCATCCAAAGGTAGCCCACAATGGCCTGTAACTCCAGTTTCAGGGGTTCAAGGCCCTCTTCTGGACTCTGTGGGCTCTTGCAAACAATACTCATGGAGGTTCACACACATACACATAAATTTAAAAAAAAAACTTTTTACAGAATCTGACTAGTTTTACATATTATATTGAGAAAATTGCTTACTTTCTGTGCACCAATTTCCTCATCTGTAAAATAGGGGTAATAATGCTATCTTCTTCACAGAGTTGTTTTAAGAACAGATGCAAAATACTTCAGAGAGGGCCTTCAAATGTCACAATTGGTTATAACTACAGTTTTTGTTGTTCTGTTTTTTAGGGAGTAATATTTTGAAAAGTCTACAAAACTACTTACTGGATCCATTAAAAATACTCGAGAAGCTGCACAAAGATTCAAACCAACTCCACCTGCTTTTAAGGACAACAGCATTATAGTCGGAGATCCTGCTTCAGTGTTTTGAAAACACTGAATTGATTCAACTCTTTTCTTTTGGGCCATGGAACCATCCAAACGAGTAAACACAAATCCTGAAGCTCTAATGGGGAAAAGAAGAGATAGGTTACAGTATACCATAAAAACTATTAAATAGCTACAAATCTTAAATTCTTTCACTCATTTATGTGGTTATGTGTAAGCAACACTCAAACCCAAGCTAAGTAAGCATTTTCACAGCAAGCTACACATTTATTTATTCATTTCTCAATATAATAATCACCAGGCACTGTCAATTATTTCAGGACTTGATCTTTAAAATGTTATGCTCAGGAAAAATTCTGTTGTTAACTCCGAATATCATTTGGGATAGTTGTGAAATGACTAGAACTGGTAAAACATTAAAATATTGTTTTGTTTACTACTATCAAATCAACACATATATAAAATTCTTCTAATTGAAGGAAAAAACACTGTAACTTACTTAAGTGGTGTTTCTATTAAAGATAGGAATGTGGTAAACTGAGAAACAACTAAACTTTTTATGTTGGGATTCTTTGTCCGTAAGTCAATCAAAGCGTGCATCAGAGCATTAATCTGAAAAAAATTATGATATTCATTAGATTCCGTTTCAGTTGGTAAGTACAACTTAATCTTCAAAACTTTATTATCACCCACTAATTGTATATTTCAATGGGGTTCAGATAATATACATGCACTAAACAAACCTGTAATATTTTTTTCATTAAAGGACTGTATAATTTAACTGAAAGGCAAAAGTAAATTATTTTAATGAAGACTGAAAAAACACTGTAATAATCTGAATCCCTTTCTTTGCAACTTAACTTTACCACTAAAAATAAACAAACACCAGTAGCGTCAAAAGAATTAAAAGTAGAAATTGCTATTTTGTTGCAGTCTTTTCTCACGTAAGGATGAAGAGCATTAAAACACATATCATGTGCACTTTACCTTGGAGCTAGACGTCCAGTCCACATTAGACTTTCTCTCATTGCCACATGCCAATTCTTCTGGAGGACATTCTAATAAATTATCTCCATGTATACTATTTCTGCATAAAGGGCACTTAGCATGTGGCTATGTAAGAAAAAAAATGAACCACATTTATCAGAAGAACAGAAATATTAATTTTCCTTAATAATTTAATATACAGAAAATTCTATATCCCTCGTGGCCAGCATTTTATTCAGGCTTTCTATTACATTCATCCACTTAAGATCAACCTGTACTTGTTTTTTTTATTTATTATTTTTATTTTATGTGTATGCATGTACTGCCTGCACGTATATAAATGCACCCATGTCGCGCAATGCCTGCAGAGGACAGAAGAGGCTGTCGGAGCCCCTGAAACTGGAGTTATGGACAGTTGTTAGCTGCCATGTGAGTGCTGGGAATTGAACCTAAGTCTTTTGGAAGAACAGCAAATAACTGCAGAGCCATCTCTCCAGCCCTGAGATCAACCTGTATTTGTTGAATTCCAAACTGATAAGGACATTCTAATGATGTAAATGGCATGCTTAAGGAGGAAGCAAGGGAGCAATAGTATGCTATCTTGACTGGCAGCAAGAGCCCAACGCACTGAATCTCATTTGTTGTGAATTAAAAATATCAAAAGATCTGCCTCATAAAAAGATCTGTCTCATAAAAACATCAAAAAGAAAAAATCATGACTAACAATTTCTTAATTCTAATAGATTAAAAGTATATGGAACTCTTCAGAAAATAAAAAAAAAAACCCTTCTTAATGGTTTATAAAACTAATAGTTTATAAAGCTTGTAACAGCTTATAAAGTAGTCCATATGTAAATACTACAAGTTCATTCAAAGCAGTATCTGTTGTGGTCATTTGTATTAAGATCTAATAAAATGAAGTTTCATCTTAACTGGATACTCAATGCCACAACAATAGAAATGAGAAAGATTCTGATATTAAAACATCAGAAATCAGCACTATGGAATCCCTCTTGGGAGGGAAAAGCGATTGACTGGGAAGGATTAACAGATAAAGCCAGTGGTTCAAATGGATGTGCTTACTTCATGATCAAGCTGTACAATTTGTACATTTGTCTACATGTACTTTTACAAAAATTTTATTAGCTGAAAGACTGCTTAAAATACTATATTCAAAAAATTTCCACAAAAGAATCTATACCTACTTTAAACGATATGGGAAATATATACCTACTTTATTCTATATGGCAAATAACTGTGCCAATTGAACCTCTGAAATGTGGCTAAACCAGATTAAGGTGATAAAAGTACAATACCATCAGATTTTGAACTTAGTTTTTAAGAAAGCATGTAATATAGTATACAAATCCCTTTTTATTTTAAATATATTGGATTAAAGTAAAATATATTATTAAAATTAACTTCAAGTTGCCTTTTACTTCTTTAAAAAAGTACTTTTTTACTCTCCTTCCCTGGGCCTGAAAGACCTGCCCCAGGCCTCTCTCCTACACGCAGGCCTCTCTCCAGGGTAAGTCTATCATGCCCTCCAAGCCTTGACTTCCCCAGACTCATTCACCCTGCCATCTCCCCCACGGGTCTCTCCTAGTTTGGGTCCTGTCCCATTCCTTGTCTTGGGGCCCCAGACACCTGGGGAACCAATACTGCTTCCTGATCCTTTTCATCCAGACCAACATAGTGCCTTCTTCCAGCCCCAGGAGCAATGCTTCTGGGCCTGGCCCCATGCTCACCTTCCTCTGCTTCCCTGGTCCTGTACCACCCACCAGCCTCTTTCTGGGACACTGGGGATGACCTTTCCTCTTCCTGATTCTTTACATCCAGACCAACCCAGCTCCTTAATGCAGTTGCCCCCCAGGAGTCCTTGGGGCCTCTTCCTGCCCCATTGCCTTTGCAACTCTAGGTGGTACGGCCACCAGTTGCCCTAGACCAGCATCTTTCCTGGGCCAGGCTCCCAGTCCAGTCCAACCCCCAAATTCCTGAGGCCAAAAAGGTTCCTGAAGGGATCCAGACCTTGGGAGAAAACCAACCCAGCTCCTTAATGCAGTTGCCCCCCAGGAGTCCTTGGGGCCTCTTCCTGCCCCATTGCCTTTGCAACTCTAGGTGGTACGGCCACCAGTTGCCCTAGACCAGCATCTTTCCTGGGCCAGGCTCCCAGTCCAGTCCAACCCCCAAATTCCTGAGGCCAAAAAGGTTCCTGAAGGGATCCAGACCTTGGGAGAAAACCTGAGAGCATCTGATCCTGATCTGACTTGGGCCTCTGTGGGAACTCCTGAAGACAAAAGCAATCTGGTCACTCCAATATAAAATCGAAAGAGAGAACTGGAAGCTTAGATGAACCAGCTTTTCATGCCCAAAAAGTAAACCACAAAGACACATAAAGTTCAAAAAA